CTATTGCCCTACACCAACCCTACACCTAAACCTACCCCTCACAGGAAACTTTCTGCATTTTTAGATTTTCAAAAAACTTAATTCTGTATGATTTATAAGCTTTTGTACCCGTGGGGACCACAATTTAGGTCCCCACCATGACACCAGTCCCCATGAGTCTGTGTGTAGTCACGTTTAAGTCCCCACCAGAATATATAAACCAGTACACACACACACACACACACACACACACACACACACACACACTAAAATGAGACAGCAGCTCTTTTTTGCCCACTATGTGTCAGCTTCTGTATTTAAGGAAGATATGATTTTCTCAGGTTCATTTTATTGCTGTTTGTGTCTGCAGGGCATGGAGGAGTGAATCAGCTGGGTGGGGTGTTTGTGAACGGGCGGCCCTTGCCTGACGTGGTGAGGCAGAGGATAGTAGAGTTGGCCCATCAGGGCGTACGTCCGTGTGACATCTCCCGCCAGCTCCGGGTCAGCCACGGCTGCGTCAGCAAGATACTGGGCAGGTGAGTTCTGCTTCTCGTCAAGACAAGTGAAGACGACTTTTGAGCTCACATCACTAACAAAACAGTACCAAAAATACCATAGTAGCCTACATATGTTTTTTTTTTTTTTAGAGAAGTACCTTGCATATAACATGTAATAAAAATAGTATTGCCATGGTACATGTAGTATATGCTTACCATTCAGTATCACAATAGTACCACCAACTGTGTGGATTCCATTACGTCCATATTCTAATGCTGTATATATTATTTAAAACATTGATATATTATTTAAAATATTATTTCATATGCTAACATTCAAAAGTTTTTTTTTTTTTTAAATGTTTTTATTCAGCAAGGACACATTAAATTGATCAAAGTAAAGACATTTCTAATGTTAAAAAAATTATATTTCAAATAAATGCTTTTCTATTTAACTCCTATTCATCAAAGAATCCTGACAAAATGTATCATGCTTTCCAAAAAATATTAAAACAGCACAACTTTTTTTCAGAATTGATAATAATGTATCCAGAGCAGCAAATCTTTCTTGAGCACCACTATCTAAAATGATTTCTGAAGGATCAGACACTGAAGACTTGGCAAAGCTGAATTTTCAGCTTTAAAATACATTTTATATTTTATTGATATATATACACTACCGGTCAAAAGTTTGGGATCAGAACGATTTTTAATGTTTTTTTTACAGGAGTTTCTTATGCTCATCAAGGCTGCATTTATTTGATCAAAAATACAAGAAAAAGTTTTATATTGTGAAAAATTATTATGATGTAAAATACTGTTTTTCTATTTTAATATACATTATAATATAATTTATTTCTGTGATCAAAGCTGAATTTTCAGCAGCATTACTCCAGTCTTCAGTGTCACATGATCCTTCAGAAATCATTCTAATATGCTGATTTATTATCAGTGCTGGAAACTGTTGTGCTGCTTAATATTCTTTTGGAACCTGTGATACTTTTTTTCGGGATTCTTTGGTGAATAAAAAGTCAAAAAGAAGAGCATTTATTTAAAATAGAAATCTTTTCTAACAATATACACTACAGTTCAAAAGTTTGGGGTCAGTAAATTTGTATTCTTTCTTTTTTTTGAAAGAAATTAAAACTTTTATTCAGCGAGGATGTGTTAAATTGTTAAGAAGTGATAGCAAAGATTTATATTGTTAGATAAGATTTATATTTTGAATAAATGCTGGTCTTTTTAACTTTTTATTCATCAAAGAATCCTGAAAAAGTATCGCAGTTTCCAAAAAACATATTTGGCAGCACAACTGTTGCCAACATTGATAATTCTAATAATAAATCAGCATATTAGAAGCTCCAAATTATTTCAAATAAATGCAGTTTTTTTAAACTTTCTATTTATCAAAGAATCCTGAAAATAAATGATCAGTTTTCACAAAAATGTTAAGCAGCACAACTGTTTCAACGTTTGCTGATAATAAATGTTTCTTGAGCACCAAATAAGCATATTAGAATAATTATTTATTAATATTAATCATTTAAAATAATGATTATTTTAGATTTTTCAATAAATGTATTATTACTAATTAATTAAAATTAACGATATAATAGCAACAACAACAACTTAAACTAACAATTATTTCACCATCATCATTTGCTTAAATATAAGCTGTTTACACTTGCCAAGTATCTTAATACAGCATTAATACAGAGTGTGTGGTCACAGGTATGCGTTTATCTGCATGGCTTTGTTGTTTCTCATCCAATCAGAATTTATACCAGGATCTGTTTTGTAATTCCTGTGTGTATGCCTAAAATATAAGCCTTGATGGTGCTCATTTGTGGCGTTTTTTTGTAAATAGGCTGAACAGATTGATGTTTTTTGCAGGTTTGTGAAAGGTATGCGTTGTTCTCTGCGTCTGTGTGATTAGTAAGCAACTGTGCGCTGACTGCAAGATTCTACAGACCTACGGCGCTGGATAAGCATATGTTCTAACTCTCTGTATATCTTGCCTGGTGATGTACAGCTCTCTATCTCTGCTCCTCAGGTACTATGAAACAGGCAGCATCAGACCAGGGGTGATCGGAGGCTCCAAACCAAAGGTTGCTACACCCAAAGTCGTTGACAAAATCGCTGATTACAAACGCCAAAACCCTACCATGTTTGCCTGGGAGATCCGAGACAGACTGCTGGCAGAGAGAGTGTGTGACAATGACAGCGTGCCCAGCGTCAGCTCAATCAACAGGTGTGTGTGTGTGCGCACTGGAAAAATCAGCAATTTAACCCGACACAAACATTTCTGTCTACTTGATTTTTCACAGTGTCAATGGAAGTGGAACTTTTTAGTTTATAGTATAGTAAGGAGTAATGGCTGATGGAAATTCAGCATTGCATCACAAAAATTAATTATATTTGAAAGGATATTAAAATAGAAACCATTATTTTATATTGAAGAGACATCTTTTAAAACAGTATTATACAAAAATAGTGTAGAAGATTTTTTTTGTTCACTTCTCAAGCTGTAAACAGATTAGCATTTGAGTTGTACTATATTATAATTAAGAGACAATGAGTCTTACAACTATTGGCAAACATGTGACTAGACATGCTGGACTTTTCATGTGTTAGTATAGAGGTCAAATGACCTCAGAGAGGTCAAATAATATCTTAGTTTCTTGAGATATTTTATGATTATTTCATAGAACAATCTATTGGCAATGTAATGTTGGTGAAATGTGTTTGTAGTCTGCGCTATCGGACACCATGGATTAGTTCCCACACACAGAGTTTGCCTAGTCTCAGACTGAAAATAATTTTGATTGGAGAATCTCTATTGCCAGTGCTATTTTATCCACAACTAGGCTTAGTCTTTGCCTGGGAAACCAGCTTAATGTCCTCTATTGCATTCAAACGGTGGGGCCAGTATGTGTTTGGAGTCTTGCCTTTAAATGCTTTCCAACCCTCCTTCCGTTCTTTCATCAAGTCAACTTTAACTTAATCCATAATAAATATCAGTTTCTGAAATATCCATACACCGATGAATGCTGTCCGTTCGCTTGATATTCCCTCTGCCGTCGGTTCAACTCGAGGCTGACTCAGCGCTTCCTTTCAAAGAAGACACGTTGAAATTCAAAAATTCACACTGAAGCCAAAGTCAAAGCGCCGTCTTTTCTTTCTGTCCTTCTGGGACAAAAAAGAAAAGATTCATCACATTTTACATTTGCATCAAAATGACACTGGCACCATACGTCTGCCGAGGAGGGAGGGATGGCTGGAAGGACAGAGAGAAGGAGAGAGAGAGCAGGAAAGAGAGGAGGAGAGGGAGGAAGGGGTTAAGGGGGAGGACAGAATTTGAATGGATAAAGGTGTGGATTAGTGCTAGAGCCTTTAGCTATATCAAAAAAATGTGTTTCCCATTGTTCTCCTTTGCCTCAGCCCTCTTCCCCCAGCCCCGGTCCAACTCACTCAACCGTTACTACGGCGCTCGGTGTGTGTGTGTGTGTGCGGTAATATCTTCCCTCCCTCTTACTGCTCAGGCAGAAAACACACTAATATGTGGGCTGCAAGTGAGGTTTGAGTAAATAAGGCGTATGACTAACTCTGCTCTCTTGGTAATGAGGGAATTTTCTGCACGTTCATTTTGGTGTGCATTTCATGCCTGTGCTTTATGAGCTTGCTTTTGGTTTATGTTTGTGTGTTGAACCTTAACTAAACTAAAGCAGTTAGTCACAAGAGATGAATCAGAGCACCTAAAACCCCCTTAACCTTGGTAAAAATCACTACAATGCATAACCTTTTATGCTTTATAAAACACCAGCAAGAGCAAAATGTATATCATAATGTACACTACCATTCAAAGGGGTCAGTAAGATTTTATTATTTTGTAAGAAATATACATCAAATTGATCAAAAAAAAAATATATATATACAACTGTCACTTTGTGATCGGAGGCTCCAAACCAAAGGTTGCTACACCCAAAGTCGTTGACAAAATCGCTGATTACAAACGCCAAAACCCTACCATGTTTGCCTGGGAGATCCGAGACAGACTGCTGGCAGAGAGAGTGTGTGACAATGACAGCGTGCCCAGCGTCAGCTCAATCAACAGGTGTGTGTGTGTGCGCACTGGAAAAATCAGCAATTTAACCCGACACAAACATTTCTGTCTACTTGATTTTTCACAGTGTCAATGGAAGTGGAACTTTTTAAGATGAATAATTCACTCTAAAATAGTTTAGTGTGTGCATGAAGTTTACTTGTGTACACTACTTTTCAAAAGTTTGGGGTCAGGAAGATTTATTTTTGTTTTTTTATCTGGAAGATAAAGGACAAGTAAAGCCATTTACTGAAAAAAAAAAACATTTCAAATAAATGCTGTTCTTTTTATCTTTCTATTGATGAAAGAATCCTGAAAGAAGAAAGATTCCACAAAAATATGAAGCAGCATAATCGTTTTCTACATTGATAATAATAAATGTTTCTTGAGCAGCAAATCAGCATATTAGAATGATTTCTGAAGATCATGTGACACTGAAGACTGGAGTAATGATGCTGAAAACTCAGCTTTGATCACAGGAATAAATGACATTTTACAATATATTCAAAAAGAAAACAGTTGTTTTAAATTGTAATAATATTTGACAATATTACAGATTTGTTTTTACTGTATTTAATTTTTTTTTCAAATAAATGCATCCTTGGTGAGTATAACAGACTTTCAAAAACATGTAAAAATGTTGACCACAAACTTTTGGATGGTACTGTAAATGTCCACAAACCATTAAGTTTTTGAGAACTAGCTGATCAGTAGATTAGAAAAGGGACAGAGCAATGCACAGAGAAGAGATAGAAAGAATAGAGGGAGAGAGACGTGGATAAAGGAAAACAACGGGAAAAAGAAACACATATTCATGAGCAGTGTCCAGCTGACTGGTTCAACAGCATGTGTACAATGACAACCTTTCTCAGAGAGAGAGAGCAAGAGAGAAAGAGAGAGAGAGAGGGGGGGGGGGGGGGGGGACGAGCTGTCTCTGCCCATAACTTAGGTAAGAGTCAAGTTCACATCAACTTTTGTCATATTTCAAACTACTCAAAATGCAAAACTTTAGTTCAATCATGACAACTCTCGGAAGATTTTAGCATGTTGATGGATATGACAATGTTAATGTATTTGGTCTTGGCGGAACAGATCTGCTTCGCTGCTGCTGTTGGTTATTGCTGTAGTTGTAGATTATTGCTGCTGCTGCAAGCAAGTACAGGAACTTGCTACTGCCAGTGCATATGGCGATACAGTGCCGTGAGTATCTAAGACATACTGCTGCTGCACAAATAGCATATAAAATAACCCCGTAGCAGATCTATACAGGTGGAGCTGGGGAAGGTGGAGGGTCAGAGAAACCGCGCTGCAGGAATCTCTAGTGAATGCTAGCCAGCCATAAAAATGCAAGGCAGTAAGCTCATTGGCTGCATATGCAGCATGAACCAATCAGCTTGTGCCAAGTCGTTTAACTCTCTGAATATCATCAGTTACGTTAACACCCCATCAGACTGCGCCATCTTGAGTTTCATGAATGAACTATATATTTCTCAAAATGCAACAGAGAAACTGAGCTTCTAAAAAAAAAAAAAAAAAGGTGTTGAAAGCT